AGCTCCCACATCAAGCAGTTACAGCACTTTGCATGTCTCTGCATTGCTATTTTGTTTACTTAGTTCTTAACTTTTTTTCAATTTGCTACTGGTCATTTAGTTTTTAATCTGTAAAATATTTCTCCTATTTACCTTCAATCTGAAAATAACTTATAATAAATAGTCAAATTAGCAGATATTATCAAGCAATGAACTTACAGTTTTCTGTAGCGTCACTCTTTGTTTTGTGCTGGCCCCCTAAGCCTGGGCTTTGGTTTATCGTGTTCAATTCCACACTGCTCCAAAATCCCAGAAATACACTCTCCCTTAGGTTGTGCCTCACTCTGTATGTGTTTCAGAGATCCCTAGATACAGGAGACATCCCTCCGGATTGGAAAATTGCAGACAGCATTCCATTTTTTAAGGAGGGCGAAAGAGGAAAACCAGGGAATTACAGACCAATTAGACTAACACCTATGGTGAGGAAACTGTTGTAGTCTATCAAGGATGAGATAACTGAGCACCTTAAATTTTCAGCTAATCAGGGAGAGCCAGCATGGATTCATGACAGGTAAGTCATGCCTGACAAACCTCATTGAATTTTTTGAAGTGTCTGAGGTATTGACAGGAGAAAGCTTATGGTTGTTGCTTATGTGGACTTCCAGAAAGCATTTGATGAAGTTCCACATACGAGCCTGCTAACTAAGGTAGAAACCCACAGAACTGAGGGCAAATTACTGACCAGAACTAGGAAATGGTTTGTGTGGCAGGTGATAATTGGTTGGTACTCAAAGCAACACAGTGTCACCAGTGATGACCCGCCTGGGTCTGTGTTAGGGCCTCAATTATTCACATTAGCCTTGGCAGGTAAGGCTAAGGATAAATCAAAGAGATTCTACAAGTATATGAAGAGCATAAGAGCCACTAGAGAGAGAATAGGGTCCCTTAAAGATCAATGTGAGGTAGCAGTGCTAACCACTGTGCCACCGTGCCACCTTTTTTTTCTCCTTCCGCTCAACCAAATTCCTAACCAGATCAATATTTTATCTTCAATTCCATGAGCTTCAATATTGGCTAGTGGTTTATATCATAGAATTGAATTTGTATCATCTATAACCACGGGTGAGTTGCTGGAGGACAGGAGGGTGGCTAATGTTGTGCCTTTTATTTTAGGAAGGCTGTAGGGGAAAGTCTGGGAACTATAGACATTGGTGGTGGGTAAGTTGTTGGAGGTGATTCTGAAAGATATGATTTACGTGTAACTGGAGAGGCAAAGACTAATTAAATATAATCAGCATGGTTTTGTGCATGGGAAATTGTGTCTCAAACTTGATTTGGGTTTTTTTGAAGAAGTAACTAAAAAGATTGAGGGCAGAGCGGTAGATATTGTTTACACGGACTTTAGTAAAGCATTTGATAAGATTCTGTGTGGTAGAACTAATTAGTAAAGTTAGATCATATGGGACTCATGGTGACCTCGCCAATTGGGTACAAAATTGACTTGATGGTAGGAGACAGAGGGTGGTGGTGGAGGGTTGTTTTTCGGATTGGGACTTCTGTCCAGCAGTGTTCCAAAGGGATCGGAACTAGGTCCATTTTTGTTTGTCATACAAAGATTTGGATGAGAATGTGGGAAGCATGATTACTGAGTTTGTGGTTGACACCAAAATCAGTTTTATTGTGGACAGTGAAGAAGGTTATCTAAGATTACGAAAAGATCTTGATCAATTGGGCCAATGGGCTGAGGAGTGGCAGATGGAGTTTAATTTGGATAAGTGTGAGGTATTGCATTTTGTTAATACAAACAAGGACAGGACTTAAACAATTAATAGTTGGGTACTGGGTCAGGCACATAATTCTTTGAAATTTGCATCCTGAGTAGACAGAGCAGTTAATAAGACGTTTAGTCTGCTTGCCTTCATTGCTCAGACCTTTTAAGTTGGGATGTCATGTTGAGGTTATACAGGACGTTGGTGAGGCCTTTTCTGTGTGTAGTGCTGGTCTCCCTGCTTTAGGAAGGATGTTACTGTATTGGTGCAGGTTCAGAAGAGATTTACCAGGATGTTGCTGGGAATGGAGGATTTGAGTCATAAAAATAGGTTGGATAGGCTGAGACTTTTTACACTGGTGCATAGGAGGTTGAGGGTGACCTTATAGAGGTTTATAAAATCATGAGTGGTATAGATAAGATGAATAGCAGGGATCTTTTCCCTAGGGTGTCGGAGTTCAAAACTAGGGGGCATAATTTTAGAGTAACAGGAGAAAAATTTAAAAAGGACCCGAAGGACACTGTTTTTACACAGAGTGTTTTGTGTGTGCAATGAACTGCCAGGGGTAACTGTTTCTTGATATTCATATGGAGTGAATTGAATTGGCTGAAGACTGGTATCTGTGATGCTGGGGACCGCTGGAGAAGGCCAAAATGAATCATCCACTCAGCACTTCTGGCTGAAGATTGTTGTGAATGCTTTAGCCTTATCTTTTGCACTGATACATTGAGGATTCCATCGTTGAGGATTGGATATTTGTAGTGCCTTAGAGACTGGAAATTGATAATGAGAATTGCAGACATCAAAATTAACGCTTTGAACAATTATTGTAAATTGGATTTCACAGAACAGGTCACAAAATGCATCCCAAGTTGAAAATCAAAAGGCAAACGCGAGGAAATTTGGAGCAATCACTATCATTTGAGGAAAGAAAGTTTACCAGGAAACGTAGTGGAGCTAAAATCTGACAAGTTCCCTGGATCAAATGAAATTTAAGAAGTGGCAACAAAGAGAGAGGATGCATTGGGTGGAGTTAAGAAGAATGAGAGGTGATGTTACTGAATAATTCCAGATTCTGACAGGGTAGATACTGAAAAGATGTTCCCCCTTATGGAAAATTTAAATTAGACAGCACAGCTTCCAAGAATGGGGTCTCCCATTAATGGAAATGAGGACTTTTCTTTTTGTAAAGGGTCATTAGTCTGTGAAATTCTCTTCCTCAGAGCACAGAGGTTGCTGGGACATTTGCCAATCATAAATCTGTCTAACACAACCTTGAATATATTCAGAGATGAGAGTTATAGGAGACAGGAAGGACAGTAGAGTTAAAGCCACATCAGGTTAGCCATGATCAGGTTTGAAAGACTGATTGGCCTATTCCTGCTCCTGTTTCTTCTGTCCTTGTGAATTTCAGAAGAAGTAATATTGCTGCTGTGTTCTGTTTTGGAGGGAGGGATTGTGAGTAAAGGTGCCTGAGTACAGAGTCATGATGAGTTGAGATGCGATGGTATATGCTCCAGTTACTCAGCTTAAGGTTCTGGTTACCATTGTTGTCTTGGATGTTTTCAGTTGAAAACCCTTTTTAATGTTAAAATGACGGAAATTAAACTGATAAATTTAATTTCTTATGTCAAGATTGGTAGTAATGGAAGAAAAGCAATGCCTTTAGTTAGTGTCCTTGTGAATGCTGTTAATGGAACTCCATGATGCATGAATTGCAAGAATAAATGGACAGAAAAAGATTTACTTAAAGAACACTCATTTGAATTACTATACATATTTGAATCTTCCAATGTTTCTCTTCATGATTCTCATCTTTAGTTTTATTCTGGATGTTCTAAAGGCGCAAACATTGTGTTTCCCATCTGACCTGGCTTTTCAGCTGTAGTTTATGAAACATCAAAAGACTAATTCTGATAATTGCATCAAGTTATTGGAGGAGATTTTGACGGACAGGATTTACAAGTATTTGGAAAGGCAAGAACTGATTTAGGGATAGTCAACATGGCTTTGTGCGTAGGAAATTGTGTCTCACTAACATGAATGAGTTTTTTGAGGAATTGACTAAGGTGGTTGATGGAGGAAGAGCGGTGGATATGGTCTATATGGATTTCAGTCGGGCATTTGATAAAGTTCCGCTTGGTAGACTAGTTAACAAGGTAAGATCATATGGAATACAGTGAACATCAGTGTGTGGTCAGTAAGTTTGCAGATGACATCAAACTGATGGTCTAGTGGACAGCCAAGAAGGTTATCTTGGAATGCACTGCGACTTTGATCAGATGGGCCTATGGGCTGAGGAGTGGCAAATAGAGTTTAATCTAGAAAAACATGAGGTGCTGCATTTTGGAAAGGCCAGTCAGGGCAGGACATGTATGCTTAATGTTAAGGTCCTGAGGAGTGCTGCTGAACAAAGAGACCTTGGAGTGCAGGCTCACAGTTCCTTGAAAGTGGAGTCACAAGTAAACAGGATAGTGAAGAAAGTGTTTGGTATGCTTGCCTTTATTGGTCAGTGCATTGAGTATAGGAGTTGGGAGGTCATGTTGCGGCTGTACAGGGCATTGGTTAGACCACTTTTGGAATACTGTTCTGCTCTCCCTGCTATAGGAAGGATGTTGTGAAACTTTACAAGGATGTCACCAGGGTTGGAGAGTTTGAGCTATAGGGAGAGGCTGAATAGGGGCTATTTTCCCTGGAGTATCAGAGATTTTATAGGAGTTTATAAAATCATGAAGAGCATGGATATGGTGAACAGCCAAAGTCTTTTCCCCAAGGTAGGGGGAGTCCAAAAACTAGAGGACATTGGTTTAAGGTGAAAGGAGAAAGATTTAAAAGAGACCTCAAGGGCAACTTTTCACACAGAGTGCTGCATGTATGGAATGTGTTGCTGGAGGATGTAGTGGAGGCTGGTGTAATTACAACATTTAAAAGGCATCTGGATGGGTATGTGAATAAGAAAGATTTAGAGGGATATGGGCCAAATGCTGGCAAATGGGACTAGACTAATTTAGGATACCTGGACAGCAAGGATCTGGTTCCGTGCTGTGCATCTCTATGACTCCGTAACTATCAACCTATTTGGAAACCACTGTTTAATCACTAATCTCACCTTTGTGCATTATTGCTCACATCTTTACACCATACCTTGTGGTGAAGTTTGTTGTGTATCACAATTAAAGTGATTAGTTTGTTACTGTTCATGTATGGAATGTTAATTTTTTTGATGTTGTTTTGATTTTAACATGATTGAAGATGTCGTAGACCAAGGTGGTGATGAAAGTGGTACAATTATCGCACGGAAAGTTGGTGAAGCTGTGCAGAACACCTTTGGAGCGGTGGCCACAGCAATCGATTTTCCATTGGGTAAGAGATTTATAAAGTAGGGCAAGCATTTCAAGGGCAAACATTGCTTTCTCCTGTTCTCAAGCAGGTTTCATGATGAGTTACACATTTGCTGCTTTGATCATTTCCTGGGTATGGCATGATTTTTTGAGCTGGTATAAAAATAAGTCAAAAATTTTGACATTTTGAAGGCTTATAAGATTTTTTTTTTTCAATATATCCCCCCTCTCCCTATCCAAAGAGTGTGCTAGCAAGCCCTCAAAAGAAAACTGTCATCTAACCTGATCCAGTATGTCTGAATAGAAATGTTCCTATTGAGATGGAAATAACAACTGGATTTTCATCAATGATGAAAATATCTAGCCAACCTCTGTTATTCTAATCCAGGTCTATCACTAGACCTGATTATAAACCTGGCTAGAGTGCTTTTCCCCACCCCCTCTGAACTGCAGGTTAACAAAACTACTGCTGCCCATACCTTGGGCAAAGGTATCATCTGTCCTCACACACTGGTTTCCTGAACCTAAGTGCCTTACATTTTAAATTTCAACCCTTTATATTCAAATCCCTTGCTTTTCTCTACTGTGTAAATTTCTTTTGCCTTGCAACTTCCTTCCCACACTTCACTTATCCAAGAACTCTTCAATCCTCCCAAATCCTCCTCTTTGTGCTCCTGCACCTTGTTAAGTTTGTTCATGGATTATGGTTGTCACTGGCTAGGCCAGAATTTATTGTGCAGGAGAAGGTGGTGGTGAGCTACCTCCTTCAGTTGCTGTAGTCTGTGTGCTGTATGTAAACCCACAAAGCTGTTAGAGAGGGAGTTGCAAGATTTTGACCCAATTACACTAAAGGAACAGCGACATATTTGCAAGTCAGGATGGTGAGGGGAACTTGCAGGTGGTAGTGTTCCCATGTATGTGTTCCCTTTGTCCTTCTAAATGGTAGAGGTCACATGTTTCAAAGCTACTATCAAAGGAGTTTTGATGACTTACTGCAGTATATCTTGTAGAAGTTATGCACTTCTGTCACATCGTTGGTGAAGGGAATGAATGTTGATGGTGAATGGGATTGAAGCCAAGGAAGTGGGCTGCTCTGACCTGGATAGAGTTAAGCTTGTTGAGTGTTGTTGGAGCTGCACCCATCCAAGCAAGTGGGGAGCATTCCATCACACTCCTGATTTGAACCTTGTAGATTGGCAGGTAGGAAATGAGTTACTCACCACAGAATTTCTAGCCTGTGATTTGCTTTAGAACATGGAATAGTACAGGAACAGGCCCTTCAGCCAACTATGTCTGTACTGACCATGACTCTCTATTCTAAACTCAGAATAGAGTCATAGAATCCCTTCAATAGAATCATAGTAACCTTTGGCCTATTGAGTCACACAGATGCTCTGAAGAATGTATCAATCAGACAACATTCCCATCCCTGTAACCCTGCATTTCCCATGGCTAATCCATCTGGCCACATCCCTGGACACTATGGGCAATTTAGCATGGCTAATCCACCTAACCTGCACATCTTTGGACTGTGGGAGGAAACAGGAATACCCAGAGGAAACCCATGCAGACACAGAATGTGCAAACTCCATATAGACTGAAATTGAATCCAGGCCCCTGGCACTGTGAGGCAGCAGTACTAACCACTGTGGCAGTGTGCCATCGTGTTGCCATCCACTGTGCTGCCATGCCATCCTACCTGCGCATGGTCCATATCCCTCTATTCTCTGCCTGTTCACTTTGTCTGTATAAATGCTTAACATAGTCACTGTATTTATATGGATGGTCCAGATCAGATTATGGTTAATGAAAACCCAACAGGATTTTAATAGTAGGGGATTCAGAGATGGTAATGCTATTGAACATCACGTGGTGATGGTTAGATTCTCTTTTGTCGGAAATGGTCTGGTCTTGCCTGCTCTCCCTAGACCCTACTAGGGTGGCGGTGTTCATAAGCTTAATGGGCCTCACATTCCCTCCTTAAATCCACCCTGTCCTTCACAATTCTCCTTAAAATCCACCTATGATCAAGCTCTGGCCCCAGAAAATACCTTTCCTTGCTCAACATTTGTTTCTCTGAATTGCCATGGGATTGTTTTCTCTATTAAAGCTATAGAGGTGCATGTTGTTTCCAATGCAATTTGAAACGAGTGTTGAAATTTCAGTGATCAACAGAGGTCTGAATTAATTTTTTCTCCGCTATTGGAAAATTGGTAGTATATTCACATGCACCTACAGAAACACATCATGGTGTTTGGTTTAAAATAACTATTGGCTGAATGAATCTGAAATTGATTCAGGAGCTGTTTCAAATCCCTAGAGTTCAAAGTGAGCTGCTGGGAGATGACCTTCTGTGCTGAATGAACCTGGTGGCTAGTCCAGTCACTTAATAAGTTGAGTAGCTCACCAAAGCTTGCCAATGTGACAGTAATTATAAGTTGTAATCTTTCTGAACAAGTTCTTGGATAGATGAAACTTGAGAGCTAGGTCTAGGCATCAACTGCTTAATTCATTGAAATAGCGTGATGGCAATCTACAGAACAGGAAAAGGCCCACCATGTGCTTGAGGGCGAGAGAGTATATTGCAGTGATAGGCTTTGTGTCTGTGTGTGGGGACTGGAGATTGTGGGGGTGTTGGGGGGGCAGGTGTTCAAAGTGTAAAAGGCTACTTGCTGCTGCATTAAAACAGTTTTGTACTCGGTTCACATTCAGAAGTGAGCTTCAATACAGCGTTGATTTTGAAGTGATACTTTGATGTTATGACCATTTCAAAAAAAATTGGCAATAGATATCATACTGTGAAGCCAATCTGTGTGAGCCCTCACCTGAAATTCATCTGTTTCCAAGAAAGGACCAGATGGTGTGTCCTCTGCCTCATTTGATATATGCCCAGCCTGATGTTAGCCTAGACAGTGCAAACTACAATCAGTTGTGGGTATTTAGCCAGTTGATGAAGCGAGTATGGAAGCCCTGTGTTTCTGAGCTGAACTTGTTTGCTGTTTCCATCTGTCTTGGGACAGAGATGACAAATGGTTGATCAGGTGTAATGATGAAGTAGCATCCACATCCTTGAAGAATTAGTATTGGAAGAGGGAACTGAGCAAGGGGGCAAAAGAAGAAATATATACAATAACTGTCACTAGAGAAAAAGTGCTAGGGAAACTAATGCCAATAAAGATCGCTAAGTCCCTTGGACCTGATAATTTCATCCTAGGATATCAAAGGAAGTAGCTACAGAAATGATGGATGTACTGGCAGTAATTTTCCAAGAATCCTTAAAATGTCACAGAGGGCTGGAAACTGCCAATGTAACATCTTTATTTAAAAAGGGAAGAAGGCAGAAACTGGTAACTATCGGCTAGTTTGCATGCCTACTATTGGGAAGACGTTAAGATATTATTTTTAAGAAAATGTAATAGCAGACCTTTTTAGAAATGTGTAATGTGATCAAGCAGAGTCAACTTGGCTTCCTGAAGGGGAAAAGATGCCTGAAAAATGTGTCAGAATACTTTGGAAGAGTTAACAAGCAAGCTAGATAAAGGGAGGCAATGGACGTGATATATATGGATTCTCAGAAGGTGTTTGATAAGCTATAAGACATTTGGCTACTTAAGAGCCCATAGTATTGGGGGTAGTATATTAGCATAGATAGAGGATCGGCAAACTAATACAAGAAAAGAGTTGGGATAAGACAGGGGTCAGCGTTTTCCAGGATGGCACCCTGTAACTAGTGGAGTGCCACAAGGATCAGTGCACATTTAAGACAGAGGTGAGGATTTTTTTCCCCGGAGTGTAGTGGATCTGTGGAATTCTTTACCACAGAAGACTGTCAAGCTTGGGTCAGTAAGTATATTCAGGGCTGAGATAGACATTATTATTCAGTTAAGGGAGTTCAACAGTTATGGGAGAAAAGTCCGGCAAGTGGAGTTGAGGATTTTCAGATCATCCATGATCTCGTGGAATGGCAGAGCGGACTTGATGGGCTGAATAGCCCACAACTGCATTTATTGCATGTAATAAATATTTTTGTTCATTTTAATTTAAATTGATAACTCATCAATGATGTATTTGCTAGGTCTTGTGAAAGATGCAGCCAGACCATCCTACTGGGTGCCTGACCACGAGATCACTGATTGTTGTTATTGTCGGAAAGAGTTTACAGCAAAGATGTCCAAGCATCACTGCCGAGCCTGTGGGCAGGGTTTTTGCAATGAGTGCTCTCAGGATCGGCGGACAGTCACTTCACGTGGATGGGACCATCCGGTGCGAGTCTGTATAAACTGTAATAAAAAGCCAGGTGACCTCTGATTGGCACACTTGGAAATAACAATGCTGATCTAACACCAAATTTTAACCCAAATTATTCATTTCTTAATTATCACATATGCATGACATTTCAAAAATAGAATAGAATTGTTAAAATAGTTCTTAACCCTACGATTTCATGAACTTGACAAGAGGTATATTTTTTAAAGGTTCTGGATAATAACCAGACTTCAATAGAAACTTGGTCATATCATTGTAGAAAGTTGTTTTCTTATTCAACTCGCTGTTCATGTTTGTGATATTCCTCATGGACACTCATCAGAACTGACCTTTCTGTAAATCCTGTATTTGTATGGAGTGAGTTGCCAAGTCTACTTATAATTATATACGTTGCAAGAAGTGACGTCTGCTTAAGTGGATGATACCTTCAAGTTTTATTATGTGTAACAGCACTCTAGCTTTCTCAGTGCAGATATTTCTCCTATAACACGATAGTTGCATTCTTGTGCAAACTCGCGCTATAGAAAATTGCATTATAAGGAAATTGTTATAATTGTACAGTAGAAAGTTGGCATTATTCAAATGCATTACAGCCAATTTGCGTTAATGAAACACGTTATGACAGAAATACCTGTAATACTATTGTTGAGGCAGTCACAAGTAGCCCCACTGTGCTGCCAAGGCCCCAGGGTATCAATAGAAGTCTGCAGTAATGCAGGCTTCTCCCCCTCTGTTGTAGTCTTTAAAATGTACTGAGGAACAAGTTCCTAATGTACCTTGACACCTTTCTGAAAAGTTTATTTATATAAAAACATATGTTTTTTTGTTAGTGCTGCACTGGTATCCAAAATACTTATTGATAAATGGTATCAACATGTTCATGGAAAATATTACAAATTTATGGTTTGTGAATGATTTATGTAAATAAATAGATGGATGTCCTTTACATTGCGTACCCTGCTTGGCAACTCAATTCTGTTGTTTATAGATATTTTTATGTTAGCTTGCTCATGTCACACCCCAGAACAGTTGGGACTTCAAACCAGGTCTCCTGGCTCAGAGGTAGCGGTACAACCACTGCACCGTTAGAATCCTTTTCAGTAGTTTATTTATTGAGGGATTTCACATGATTTAAGTCATAGAGATCTGGAGCACCATCTATACTGATCAAAAACAACAAACAGACAAACTTTCAGATCTTAACAATTTAGACCCAACCGTGAAAATCATAGAATCATAGTCATAGAGTCCTACAGCACAGAGACAGGCCCTTTGGCCCAAACTGGTCCATGCCTACCAACGTGTCCAGCCACGCTAACCTCATTTCCCTGCACTTGGCCTATATCCTTCTAAACCTTTCCTTTCTGTGTATTCGTCCAAATGCCTTTTAGATGCTATTAATATATCTGCCATAACCACTTCTGCTGGCAGCTCATTCCATATGCATACCACCCTCTGAGTTTAAAAAAAAAAGTTGCTCATCAGGTTCCCATGTATTCTTTCCCCTCTTACTTAAACTGATGCCGTCTGGTCCTCAATTCCCCAACCCTGGGAAAAAGACTGAGTGCATTCACCCTTTCCATGTCTCTCACTATCTTACGCACTTCTGTAAAATCCACCCCCCTGCTCAGTCTCCTACGCTGTAAAGAAAAATCTCTATCTACTGTACCTCCAGTGCCTCCAGAAATGGTTCTCCCTACGGATTCTCAGCTCCATGTTCTCTGCCATGCATCAACATTCTGTCCCTACAGTTAACCTTGCCCCGTTTAGGGCCTCTCTCTCCCAGACCTGTAGAGGACCTCTACTGTTCTTTGTTCTCAGAAGGATCCATACCCTCAACAAATGCTTTTTCTTCACCCTATCGGACACCAAAAACCGTAAGTATGCCAAACTTTCCCATACTTACCTCCTGACACAGATCTGAATCATTCAGCATCCTAACCTGATCTGCGACCTTCTCTGGGATCAGCTCCATGCCATTGACCACGTGGGCACTCCAACTACTCCTATAGGTCATGTGACTGCCATTTTCTCAGACTTCGATGACCACGTGACTGCCAACATCAGTGATAATCGCATTGCTATTGCTTCTGCTTCCCCCCCCCACATGACCACTTCAGTACACACATCCACTCCTAATAAAGTCTGCAGGCCCAGTCCCAGCTCCAGTTCTACACCCGGCCCCAAGCCCTGCCGGGTAACCTACATCCCCCAGGACCTTCCCCTCACTGATGCTAAATAGTCAGTCCTCAGCAAAGGGCTCACATTCATTCCCCTGTACCCACACATAAACGCCATGATGTCAAACTGTTTTCCGCCGCTGCCGCCTCCGCCTCCTTGCCTATTTCTTTGAATGGGAATCCATCCCACCCTCTAGCAATCCCTTCTCCTGCCTCTAGCAAACTCCATCCTCCTGGACACCCTCTCCTGGCCTCCTACCCTCCCTTGAACTCTTCATCTCAAACTGCTGCTGTGACCTCTCCACCCCTTTCACTTGTTCCAGCCTCTCCCTATCGGAACACGCAATCCAACCCTAACACGTCACTATCAAACCTGCCAACAAGGGTGGGGGCGTGCAGTGGTAGTATGGCATACTGACCTCTACATCACTGAGGCCAGATACCATCTCTCTGACACTTCCTACCGTCCCCTCGATCATGACCCCACCTCTGATCACCTAACCATCATCTCCCAGACCATCAACAACCCCTTTAGGAGATGTCCCATCCACAGCCTCCAATCTGATAGAAATGGGTGGTGCAGGGTTGGGGAACCACCCCTACCCAAAATCCATAAACTCAACTGCCCCGGTCGACCCATTGTCTCTATCTGCTCCTGCTCCCCTGAACTCATCTCCAACCTTGACTCCATTCTTCCCTGTTTGGTCCAGGAATTCTCTACCCACATGCCCTCTACCTTTTCAAAACTTTCAATTCCCTCGTCCAAAACACCTCATCTTCACCATGGGCATACAGTCCCTGTACATGCATCCCCCACACAGAGGGCTTGTCTTCTGCTTCCGTAGGCCCAACTAGTCCCCATCCACTGACACTCTAATTCACTTAGCTAAACTGGTCCACACGCTCAACAATTTTTCCTTCGATTCCTCCCATTTCCTACAAACCAAAGGATGGCCATGGGCACCTGCATGGACCCAAGCTATGCCTGTCTCTTTGTAGGATTCGTGAAACAGTCCCTCTTCCGCAACTACACCAGCGCCATCCCTCACCTCGTCCTCCACTGTATTGATGATGGCATTGGTGCAGCCTTGTGCTCCTACGAGAAGCTCGAGCAGTTCATCAAGTTCACCAACACCTTCCAACCCACCGTCAAATTTACCTGGACTATTTCTGACAACTCCCTCTCTTACATGGACCTCTCCATCTCCGTTTCCATCTCCAGAAACCAACTCGCCACAGACATTCATTTCAAACTCGCTGATTCCCACAACTACCTTGACTACACCTCCTCTCACCCACCCTCCTGCAAAAATGCTATCGCATACTCCTGATTCCTCAGCCTCCACTGCATCTGTTCCTGGGATAAGACGTTCTACTCCAGGACATCCCAGTTATCCTCCTACTTTAGGGACTGTATTTCCCCTCTGTAATTAAGGATGCCTTCACTGTGTCTCCTCCATTTTCTACACTTCTGCCCTCAAACACCCTCCTGCCCCCCCCCCCCTCCAACAATAAGGATAGAGTTCCCTTCATCCTCACGTATCTCCCCACCAATCTCCAAATCCAACGCATCATCCTCCAACGTTTCTGCTACCTACAATCAGGCCCCACCACTAAAAAGATATTTCCCTCCCTACCCAGTCTGCTTTCCATAGGGACTGTTCATTCCGTGACTCCCTTGTCAGCTCTACACTCCCCATCAACTTCTGCACCACACCCGGTACCTTTCCCTGCAACCACAAAAGGTGCAACACCTGCCCCCACCTCTCCCTTCTTAGCTCCGTCCAAGGCCCCAAACAATCCTTCCAAATTTGGCAGAGACTCACCTGCACTTCATCCAACTTGATGTATTGCATCTGTTGCTCCCGATGTGGTCTCCTGTATATCAGGGAGACCACATGCGGACATGGGAACTGGATCTGCACTCTGCATGCTTCAACCAACTCAATCTTTCAATTCCCATCCATTTTAATTCCCCAATCTGTTATGTTGGGAGTAGAGGTTTCCTTCCAATAATTAAACCTGAAACACCCAGAGATGCTTGCCTCGTCCCTCGTAACCTGTTAAAAGAGTAGTTGAATGAAAGGAATCCCTGATACTCACTTTAGAAGCAACAAGTAAAAATTTATTTATTTTAACCCTAACAGTGAACAAATGAACAGAACTACTAACAAACTACTGTTTTACACCTTTCACACTAATTCTGTATATATATAACATTGGACCGCACCAGTTCTATCTTATCTACACATTTCTTTTAAACTCATGATAAGGTGTCTGCAATAACATTTTTATGACCTACAACATGTACAATCTGTAAATTAAAAGTTTGTAACACAAGACTCCAACAAAATAGTCACATATTTTTGTCTTTAAATGTTTCCAATAAGATGAGAGGGTTGTGGTCTGTATACACAACTATCTCTGAAATATTGTTTGTAACATAAGCATTAAAATGTTGTAAGACCTGTACCAAACTCAATAATTCTTTTTCAATGATGGAGTATTTTCTCTGATGAATATTGAGTTTCTTTGAAAAATAACCAATTGACTTTTCAATTCCACCATCGTTCTCCTGCATCAACACAGCTCCAAACCCTATATTGCTGGCGTTGATAGTAACTTTGAAGGTTTTCAAGAAATTTGGTGTGGCTAAAACTGGTGCAGTGGTTGACACTGTTTTTAAATTCTCAAATGCCTACTGGCATTGTCTGTCCACTGAAATTTCATATCCTTCTTTAGCAAATCCATCAGCGGTGCTGCCACGCTATTAAAGTTTAACACAAACATCCGGTAGAATCCACTCAGTCCCAAAAATCGAAGCACCTCTTTCTTCAAGGATGGTCTTGAAATTCCTCGATGGCTTCCTTGGGTCATCCTTCCATGTCCGATTTTGTGTCCCAAGAGCATCACTTCTGCCTTTGTGAATTCAGTTTTTGCTAAACTTATAACCAGTTTTGCCTCTCGTAGTTTTTTTAAAGAGCTCTGCCAAATGCATAAGAACATAAGAACTAGGAGCAGGAGTAGGCCATCTGGCCCCTCGAGCCTGCCCTGCCATTTAGTAAGATCATGGCTGATCTTTTTGAGACTCAGTTCCACTTACCTGCCCACTCACCATAACCCTTAATTCCTTTACTGTTCAAACATTTATCTAGCCTTGCCTTAAAAACATTCAGCGAGGTAGCTTCAACCGCTTCACTGGGCAGGGAATTCCACAGATTCACAACCCTTTGAGTGAAGAAGTTCCTCCTGACCTGAGTCCTATGTCTGCTTCCCTTTATTTTGAGGAGATGCCCTCTAGTCCTAGTTTCACCTGCTAGCAGAAACAACCTCCCTGCCTCCACCTTACCTATTCCCTTCATAATCTTATATGTTTCTATAAGATCTCCCCTCATTCTTCTGAATTCCAATGAGTATAATCCCAGTCTACTCAGTCTCTACTCATAATCCAACCCTCTCAACTCTGGAATCAACCGAGTGAATCTCCTCTGCATCCCCTCCAGTGCTAGTATATCTCTTCTCAAGTAAGGAGACCAAAACTGCACACACTACTCCAGGTGTGGCCTCACCAGGACCCTATACAGCTGCAGCATAGCCTCCCTATTTTTAAACTCCATCCCTCTAGCAATGGCTGACAAAATTCCATTTGCCTTTTTAATTACCTGCTGCACCTGCAATCCTACTTTTAGCAATTCATGCACAAGGACACCCAAGTCCCTCTGCACAGTAGTGTGCTGCAATTTTTTACCATTTAAAACACAGTCCATTTTG